TATGTCTTGTTTTGCAAATTGTAACTATTAATAAAAATTGATAGATTGTCTAGCACGGACTATTCCACTTGCATGTGGTCTTGTTAGTCCGGTTTATCAGATTAAACAAGTTTTCAAACCGAAAACACAGGAAGACATATATACTACAGTAATAATACTTAATTTTCATATATTTTTAGTTTTGAGATCCTACCACCTAACACTAAGTATTCCAGGTGCTTTACTAAGTATATCTGCCACAAATTGAGTTTCTGACATTTTGGGGAGTTCTTGTGAATTCGAATATTTTATATGTATATCTACATTTGTGAAGATTATTTATTTATTTATTTATTTATTTAATCAATACGTGCATTGTCTAAACGACTAATAAGTTTCATTATTGGTATCGTTTAGTTTACAATATAACGTTTCCTATAACGACTGTTCTTGTTGTTCTCGTCATTATCATTCAAACTGGATCAATAATATATATAGATTCTACCACTGCATCAAGTGTGATACGATATTTACCCCCTCGAGACAGTTAAATTTTCAAATTTAAAACGCGAGGCTCGCCGAGATTTGGTGGTGAATCTGTTTCTCTAATGATTTATAGGCGATATACAGACAATTTTTAATACTTCTTTTCGAATGCTCTGTAAAAAGATGTGTTCTTTCTATGCGACGTCATCAGGCATGGTCACCTTTTTTCATGACGTCACAATAAGAAATTCAGAGGAAAGCAAGACAAATTTGACGTCATAATCGAATTTTGACCAATGAAGGACTGAGATCAAACGAACCACACGTTGATTAAATGAAAATTATCAACAGGTCAGGAAAAGGATAAATCGGCTAATTAAGAACAAAGATTATCTAATACCTGTAACTAATAGCCAACAACAACAACAATACTTTATTTTAAGAGGGTTACGCAGTTAGTTAGTTATACATTACTAAAGGGGCGGTAAAAAGGGCTCCTTCCGCCCCTCTTACTAATCTTCCCTGAGACTCCCTGAATCATAACCTTAATCAAGCATAGACAACAATTTGCGACAATAGCTGTTTGGTATGCGAGATAAAGGGATATGACAAATTCGAAAGGATAAGTTTCTTTTTTACTGTCTGTAAAGAGAATAATACCTTTCGTCTTAAAGTGTCCCGTTATAATTGTGTTACTCAAAATCTATAATACTAAAAGACGGAATTTTACGATTTTTCTGGACAGCGTGTTCCTCGCGTTTATTTGCAAATGCATTTTGTATGCACTTTTAAATGCGACGTTCTCCAAACAGTAAAGTATTCAATATTAAATTATATGACGTTACAAATATACATTTCAATTACTAAAGTGCAAAGATGTATCCAATTGTTTAAAAAATTCAAATAAAATTTAATATAGTAAACATCGTTCTCAGCAAGAGAATGCAGTTGTACTCTTTTTTTCAAATAAGTCATGCAAATTCGTCTAAACAGATTCCTTGGATGATCTGTAAGAACCCGGCCGGTCGTTTCGACCAAAATCACTGTTCGCTCTGTAAGTCGTTTCTCCCCGGATTGCCTAGTTAGCATACATAATGGTATAAGCCGGATGTGCACTGAGAATACATCGCCACATGTAGATGGACATAGCATATTTAAAGTAAACAAGGATCACTATAATTCTAAAGATTGGAAATCATTTACATTGTAATATGGTAACCTCGTTTTAGCTTGAATAAAGACAAGAACTGTCTAACATAATGAAATGATCTACCTTCATTTTACTAGCTGTCCTTGCAACTACAAAATATTACACTAAGTGTTGTCTGTATTTTCTGTTGTAGAATCTGATGCCTTGAGGAGAGTAAAAATTCAATAGAATATAGGTAATATTTACTGTCCAGTCAATGAATGCACTATCCAACTCGCCAAAACTAAGTTATTTCAGGTACCAGAGGTGAAGTAAAGCAGATTTACAATTAATGTCTACGTGAAGACATTCTCAACAACTACATACTATTATTCCAAATGTTTGTTGTCTATTTTATTTGACCTGAGCTTGCACGGGTAAATATTTAGTTACTCAGTAAAAGAAAAAGAATTTAATGAGATTTGTTCACCGTATGAATACATGTAGTTAGTAAAGGCTACAAAATGCTCCCATGCAAAGTTGAACATTTACCAAGAGACGGGAAAGGATGTGAAATTGAACGATATTGCCGTAAAAAGCTGGGTTATAAATATTCTTTTTAGAATTATACTTCCACAATAAATATCCAAATTTGTGATTGAAGTTTTGAAAGAATAAATCCCTGCTGTACAGCAAGCTATAAAGCTATAACTAATCATGTTGTTAGTTGCACCGTGCAGGTATTTTGATAATGTGTTTTAATTTTTAGTATATTTTCTAGAGAGATAAAGGGGAGGTGTGTTTGTAAGTAAAAATGGTTAACCCCAGCACAGTTTGTAACTGTACCAAGTCAGGCTATATCTTGCGCATGTGTTGTTCATGGTTGCTATTGTCTGTTGTACTGCCCGATTTTGGGGAATTCTGTCATCATTTTAATGTATTATTCAAAGGCAATATACATGTAACAACTTATTACTTACTTGATCATAGAAAGTTACTTAAACGTTTTCTTAGAAACTCAACATTTATTATTGTCATGATTACTAAATAAATCACTTTCGATCAAGTGAAATTTGTCTGTTATAATGTTAAGTATATAGAAACATAGATATAGAGACATGTACAGTGCCGTGAGGAAATGTGTCTATATAAGTCACAGGAAAGAGAGTAACCACCTAGTTCATAAAGCACGCGAAACACAGTTAAAAAAGCACGTGGAACACAGCTCAAAAAGCACGTGAAACACGTTTCAAATAAATACAACAGTTAAAAGATAACAAAATCAAATTATTTCAGGTAAGGTGGAGGTTTGGGCGCCCCCAAACATTTATAACCCCGCCCATATTCTGTATGTTTCTGTCCAAAGTAAGGAACCAGCTGAAATCTAGTGGTTTTCTATTGATGCTGAATATCATATTTGTTTTGTATATATTGTTTTAACCTTAACCCAGCCGTCAGGCTTTTAGTTGGAATTGTTTTACATTTGTCATATCATGGCGTTTTATAGCTTGCTATGTGGTATGGGTTTTGTTCATTGTTAAAGGCCGTACGGTTACCTACAGCAGCTAACTGAAACGTCCATAGGTCCTGGTGGAGATTGTGTCATTGGCAATCATACCACGTCTTTATGTTTTTTTTATTATGTTCCATATTTCCTTTAGCTTATAGATCCAAGTAAAGGAAATCATAATAATATAATTCGTATCCGCTTTTATATTTGAAATATTGATCCAGCTAATTGTTTTTAAATCTTAATATGGTAAAAAAAATAACTTATTGTTGGTGGTATTGTCTGATCATATAAGTAACAATTAATTTGCTATATATTCAGGGATACCCAGAGCTTGACGTATGGCTAGGACACTTGTCTTTTGGTGAAAACAGTATAGTGTGTGACCTATAAAACCAGGTTCAATCCACCATTTTCTACATAAGAAAATGCCTGTACCAAGTCAGGAATATGACAGTTGTTATCCATTCGTTTGATGTGTTTGAGCTTTTGATTTTGCCATTTGATTAGGGACTTTCCTTTTTGAATTTTACCCGGAGTTCAGTATTTTTGTGATTTTACTTTTTGATGTCTTTTTAGTTCTATCCTCGTATTATTGGTTTTCGTGCTATTGAGAATGCATTGTGACGTCACAATTTCCATTGGAAAAGCATGCATAGTACGAATTCATATGACGTACAAAAACATGTGATCTGACCACAGTTCAAACTCCCTCAGGCAAAATTGACCTTAGATAAGTTTGGCTATTTTGTATGTGCTATTTGGTCATATAGCTCTTCACGTCTTTATGTCTTATACATAACTGGATATCAAGTGTTTGGCTTTGAGCGTTCCTGATTGAGGTAAATCGGACTCATGAAATTATTTTTCATTTATTGTGTGTTTCGGCCACTGGATGTCGTTTCATGTTAAGTAATTGTGACTTGTTATGGTGGTGACGTATTCTATATCTAAATTATCTATATGCATTTATTTTTATGCTTTGAAGACCATACATGTATGAAAATATAGTTTATAACTTAATTGAGCTCGCTGAACAGGATTTTCATCTTTCTAGTAAGTAAAAGGGGTCGTAAACGTCAACAAGAAAGCAACCCAATGACATACCGAACCGAAAAACATCTAGAGGACAACATGTAGTTTTCAACAGTATACAGGTGTTTATACAACACGGCAGTTCCGAGTATGTTAAAGTTGTGCATCAATTCAACACAAACAACTAATGAAAGATCTGCAATCAATCAACACAAGAACCTCGAGCTCGAAATAAAAAAAAACAACACAAAAAAACAACATTTAAGATATGTCGCAAGACAGCCATTCAAGATGTTGCTGACTTGGGACGGACACGTGAATATGTGAAGGGATTTAACTATAATATTTGTCAAAGATCAATCTGCATTCATTTGTTTATAACTCAATATGATATATTCACTAAAACAGGATTATTTATAGATCTGGAATTTAAAGGTTTGAGGCACTGAGTATTTTTTTCCATCCTCGTAAGAACTGAAAACAATAATATCAAGCAGGTTGAGCGCTCACAAACATGTTTAATCCTGCCACATCCTGTATGCGCCTTTCCCAAGTCAGGAGCCTCTAGTTGTCTTTTTTTGTTGGTTTGTTTTTTCGTAAATTGTTTTGTTATAAATTAGGCCGTAAGTTTTCTTTTGAATTGTTTTACATTTTTTCATGTCGGGGCTTTTTTATGCCGACTATACGGTATTGATTTCTCGCATAGTTGGATGCGACTTATGATTGCTTTTATCCACTTATTTGTCTCATTGGCAATTCTACCACATCTCTTTATTTTCATAGAGTCACCTCTGTAAACCACTGTTTATTATTACAAATGAATGGTGGAAATATTTCTTAACACAAAGCAACAATAAAAAATTTAACTTAATATCTTTTATTTGTTTTTCATATAAAACAATAATGGATCAAACATTGAATACATACATTATATATCAATATATAAAAAATACACCAAAATATGATGAAACACTGAAATCGTTCAGGGTATTGTAAACATATTACACGGAAACACTGAAATCCTTCAGGGTACTGTAAACATATTACACGCAGACACTGAAACTATTCAGGGTACTATAACCATATTACACGCAGACACTGAAATCATTTAGGGTACTGTAAACAAATTACACGCAGACACTGAAATCATTCAGGGTACTGTAAACATATTACACGCAGACACTGAAATCATTCAACGTAGTGTTTACAAATTACACAAAACACTGAATTCATCCAGCGTACTAAAAACAAACTACAAACTAAAATCATACAGTATAGTGTAAAAAGTACACAAAATACTGAAATCGTCAAGCCTACTGTAAACAAAACAAAAACACCGCTGAACTCATATAGCGTACTGTAAACAAAATACCCAAAACACTAAGTCCCACAAAACACTGTAAACAAACTCAGACGACGGAATGAGCTGCAACCTTATCTCTTCGCAATAAATAGCACGAGATGTAATTCCTATTTTCTGAATTTTGACGGCTCGTGAAACTCGCAATCGCCTCTGCTGAACAAGAAATCTACTTGTAGAATTGGTGAGAGAATATCTATTACGATATCTCGGAAATATATTTGTGTGTAACGTCCTCCTGTCATGGAGCTTCTACTTCTTCTAGAGGCGGAGATTTTGTAGTTTTGTTATTTTTGCTTGTTGCATCAATTATTATTTTTGTTTCCCCGTTTGGCGTTTGAACCTCTGTAACACTAATAGCACCGGTTGATTCAATTGTCAAGGTACCGGGTAATTGTTGCTTATTACCTCCGAAATTTGGGAAATTTTGCTGTGGTCTTAGTATTTTTCTTGGATCGACGAAATTAGCTCCCCTTGCAGCAGGATCTTGAACATAACGTCCATTGGTATCAAAAAGTTGTTTTCTTATTAACCCTATTAAAATTTGTCTGGTGAGTAACTGTTGATGCATGAGTTCTCTTACAGAGTAATTAATAGGAGATTGTCTGCTGGAAGGAAGTTCATTAAACTGCGGATTTGGCATTGTTTGTAGCTGATGAAAGTTATCATTCATATTGATATTATTGTTTATGTTATTGTTTATATTATTGTTATTATTGTTATTGACATTATTATTTCCGATTCTCATTCTATCAGGTTCGTTATTAAATCTGACGGTTACTCTCCCTCCTACTCTCCCTCCCCTAGGATTACCATTTCCAGGTTGTCGTAATGGTGATGACGTGTCATGTGGTAATCTTGAGTTTGAACTTGTAAAACCGGAAGTTCCATGTGATTGACTAGTCCTTCGGGTATTCAAATTATTATTCCTGGAGAAAAGTGACTTCTGTGTGTTTCTCTGGCCTCTACTACCAACCTGGAAAAACAGTTAATCATCAATTATCTATAAAAAAATATTGCTTTCAGACTTTATTTCGTTACAAGCGTAGTGTCACGGTATGTGTTATATTAAATAAAAGACCTGTTTTTGTATTTCGCTACTCTAATTCCCAGTCTTAATCATTCATCAAGACTATGGGTCCTGAAGATAGGATGGACAGTGCAGTTTGTTACCCTCAAATCTTCTATAATCTACTTGTTTAGATTTCATACTTTATTTTTAATAAAATACATGTACCTACAATTATGACTGCATTACACCTTCAGTTAAGGATGTTTGCTGCTCTGTTTCAAAATAACAAGATTTTTAAAAGACTGTTCTAAAATGATAGTATATAAATAAAGGAACTTAAAAAGCTGAAAAAAATGAAGGGTCCGTGTGCTTGTTTTCGAGATATAAGCCATTGAAAATTTGGCGGGAAATGATTATCTCTAGATTTTTCATACTTTTAACATTGGCCTCTTTTTTGTTTCAAAAACTATGAAAAAATAACAAGGATTTTATAAGATTTTTAAATATGGCTTTTAAAACTATATGTAATAAAATTGTGAAAAGAAAAGTAGGGGTTAGTGGGCAAAATTTTTTTATGGCTATATATGGATAAAACCAGAGGATTCCGAAAATCTGGCAAAAATTCAAAAACAAGAGGAGCAAACATCATTAAACTACATCTTTGTAAACATTCAGAGTTAAAATAGAAAATTTTAACCTCTAAACTGTTAAACTTATTCGACTACCATATAGTTCCTTTTATAACTTGTTATGCAAAAATAAATATTTTCTCATTTACAGTATAAAAATAAGGAGATGTGGTATGATTGCCAATGAAACAACTATCCACCAAAGTTCAAATGAAGTGGATGTTAGCAATTATAGGCAACCTTACGGCCTTCAGCAATCAGAAAACCCCATACTGCATAGTTGGCATAGAGGCCACGACATGAAAAATATGAAACAATTCAATTGCGAAAACTTACTGCCTAATTTATAACAAAACAATTTACGAAAAACAAATATGACAGACATGAACCAACGACAACCACTGAACTACAGGCTCCAGACTTGGGATAGACACATATAGAATGTGGGGGTGGGGGGTTGAACTAGTTTTCTTGTGTCAAACCCTCTCCTAACCTGTGACAGTGATGTAACAGTACAACATAAGAACAAACTATAAAAAAAAACCGTTGAAAAGGGTTCAATCATCTTATCGATACAAAGCAGAAAACACCTAACGAAAACACAGACCGACCGTGGCAGCGTATCTATACATCCCACAACAAGAAAAGACATTAAGTAAAGATCTGAGAGTACTCGCAGGTACTGACACTTGTAGTTTAACTTTCGAACTTGAGCTTTATTCTTACTATATTTTTGTTAATATAAACAATAATAATCGATTAACTTTTCATTTATAAGTAATTTGTCATTTTCTTTATTTCATCGAATTGCCTTAACAATTTGAGAACAGCTTTTATTCTCTTTTTCAGCATTGTTTGAATGACAGGAAATATATTTATAGGACACAATACGACATCCTGCAAAATATTTAACGGGCTAACGAACGAATATCAAATTCAATTTCTTAGATAGATATAACATATAAACTCATTATCGCCGATTTAGTGCATTGTAAATGTTGATAAATGTGTCAAGTGTACAGAAAATGTAATAATTCCCATGTCACTTAATAGACATTGATTTATGACAGTCTGTTTAATTAGGTCATCAATATTCAGGGAGAATTGTTTGAACTACATTTCTTTTATCGGTACAGTTCATTTTCCCCAAATTTGCTGGTACGCAAATATTCGCTAAATTTATTATACATTGTCTAATTAATGATTTGTCTTTAAAACAAAAAGGTAACTTTTGATGTGTTTTTTAGTCAATTATATTATTTTGTAATTTTGGTAATTGCGGAAAAATTTTACCGGATTCTGTTTTAGGAGAGTATCAAGCAGTTGCAAAAGTTCGTGCCGAACAAAGAAATATTACATTAAAAGATAATTCCTCGCGGTATTTTTGAAAGCAAAACATTGTAAATAATTTACCAATGATAACAATTATAGAAAACGCATTTATCATAATATAAATATAAAAATTTAAGATTGATTGATGTTTGCTTTATGTCAAGCGGCAAATATTTCATGCAGGTTAAAAATACAAAAAAAAAAGATTCTTTCTATCAAAACTTCATTTTAGATTGTCTTGATATTTTATTGAGTGCTGACACCACACACCAGTTAAATATTCAAATCATTAATTACGCATCTCAACACGTTCGTGTTGCTTAGTCTTTAGTTTTCTATGTTGTGTCTTGTGTACTATTATTTGTCTGTTTGTCTTTTTATTTTTTAACCATGGCATTGTCAGTTTATTTTCGATCTATGAGTTTGACTGTCCCTCTGGTATCTTTCGCCCCTCTTTTAAAATGGCATCTTTGTTTTCATATTAAACACATTCTAGTTGCCTTTATGTTGTTTGGATGATGTCCCTACACCTCTCCCTATTCATAAAGTCTTTTGACCGACAAACACACAACTCACTTAATGCACTAGAGATATCATACAATGTTACTAGGTTTCATTCATACATTGTGACATTAATCAATATATATATTGGTTGTGAACAGAGTGAAAATTGAATAAATTATGAATGATTGCATGATTTTATTATCATCCTTATTGCGTATGACATTTTATAACAAGGAAATGATTGTTATATTCATTACAATAAGTAATTATCATGAAAGACGCTGGGAAATTCTGAAAATGTTTTGATATAAAACATTATCATCAAGTTTTTTTAAATTTTTTAAATTGAGAATAAGGAACAAATTGAATTATGTGATAATTCTCTTTAAGAATTCGGTGAACAGAAAGTTGGTGAGTAATTGATGTAAACATGCATCACATGGTAGAGCATGCTCGCATGATCATTGACTCCAAATTTAAAAAAAAAGTCTGAATTGTAATTTCAAAAATGCGACGAACAATTCGGAAATTGATGTACGATTAATATGAACCTTAACTTGCGACCAAAATTTAATGGAACCGACGGAAGAACTGAGAGACGTGAATCAGTAACATTCTTAATATATTTGTTCACACAATAAAGCCTTCATGCTAAACTGGTACACATTTGATTGTTTAAAAATTCTTTGTAATTCAGCGCTTATTAAACCTTGTATGATACCATTTCTTATGAATTATTTATAAAAATCAGAAAAACAGCTTTTAGTAACATTAAATAAATGCCAAGACTTGATTACACAATTTGACTGAAACGTCATACTGAAAGTGACATCATACGCCAGATTTTTTAGACTTTTGTTGTTGCGAACATTTAACACTAGTTTAAGAAATGTGTTTGAATAGAATCATTACACTTGTAAGCATTTATCTACCATTACTTAAAACCTCACAAGCTCCCTCAAAATATAGCATCACAATTTAAAACATTTGAAGTCGTAATTTTAAAAGCGATTGTTGCTTGACGTCAGAAGGTTAGTCGGAGACAAATCTAAGGTATATCGGAGACAAAATTCAGCTAAATATCCAAACTTGTAAATACGTACATATTATCATAGATCATGTAGAGCACAATCGTTCTCCAAAATGATTCTTATAGTTGAGCAGAAAGATTATAAGATTTTTAACAAAAAATGTCAATTGGTAGAACATCTTGGTTAAGTTAACAGAGAGCACAACCGTCGCCTAAAACCATTGTTGCCAGTGATTCCAATATGACATTCTTCTATCACTTTGTAAATAAAGTCATGCTCTATATTCCAAGAGAACATGGGTTTCACGTGTGTGACATCAGAATAAAAATTGTAAATTCAATTGTATTTTGAACAACGCTAGAGATAAAAATAGACATTTGTGTTGGTGATTCTTGCTAGGATATTAAAAATAAATCATTATAAAAATAAGTTAACAGGTAAAATTTTGATTGTTTGAACATTCTTTGTAATTCAGCGCAATCAAAACCTTGTATGATACCATTACTAATGAAATATTTCAAAAGCAAGAAAAAGGCTTTTAGTAGCTGTGAATTTTTACCAAGCTTTGATTACACAATTTGACTGAAACGTCATACTGAAAGTGACGTCATACGCCAGATTTTTCAAACTTTTGTTAGTGCGAACATATTATGGATAATGAGTTTATAAACTTTGCTGTTACAAAATTTTAAATTAACGAAAAAATATCTCCCTCATGCAAAGCTCTAATTCCTTGCAAGCTTTAGCTTTACTGTTTTGTCCTTTTTGGTTTAAAAGCTCTTTTTTACATACTTTTTTTTCGTATTTTAGAATATTGTTATACTAAGCCTAAATTGATCAAAGTGTAAAACAATCGTAAGAAAGAAAAAAACAACCCTAAAGACCTTAGGCTAGTAAATAAGTATGCATAACTGAATTTCAGTTTCCATTGCAATCAGGGGAATGTTTTTTTTTCAATAGCCATAATATTTTCCTGCTTAATATATCTCTCTCACTCTCTCTCTACATGAAAAAAAATAAATGTAAAACAACTGCCCCCCCCCCCCCCCCCCCCCCCCTATTTGCAAATTTAACAGAAAATGATAAAAAAAGCATAATATGGACTAAATGCTTTCCCTCTCAATCCGTCCTTCTTTCTGTGTGTGCACATATTCAAAAAAAGAACATGGCAAAATATTGCGTGAATGACGTATTCCTATTACACTTCCCTATTTCACGTTGAATACAAGTGTTAACACCATACATCTCTAATTGTAATTTTTGATAATATAAGTCAAGGCAGGCATTAATTATCAACATATTTGCACGACAAATAATAAAAATGTGTATAAAGCCATCAATTCATACATACAGGTATTAATAATGAAACCTTGAATCCCGGTAAATAACAGGAAGATATGTCAATTGAACGTTAACTGTCTGACCCTCTGACCAGTGTTGTTTGTATTTAATATATAGAGATTAATAC